AATTGACCATAATGGGAAAAAGGTTCTACCATGCACATACTCAGCAAAAATTGACCCAAGTATCCCAACCTAGGGTCTTTCCCTCTATTCTTAGAATTTACATCTTAGGGATTTTGCTGTTTTTTTTAACTTATATTATGTTTTATCACAATTATTTGTGTGAGAACTTGCATGATTGACTTGCAACTTCTTATTTGAATCCAGAGAACCACAGTATTTGGTCTTCCATTTCCCAACCCAATTGGATTGGCAGCAGGCTTTGACAAGCACGGAGAAGCAGTTGATGGATTATTAAAAATTGGATTTGGTTTTGTAGAGATTGGAAGTGTAACCCCATTGCCACAGGCTGGTAATGACAAGCCTAGAGTATTCAGACTTATGGAAGATAAAGCTGTTATTAACAGGTAAGGCCATGGAAAGAAAAACCTATTTTAACTCCCGGGAGCCTGAAAAAAAAATTATGTAAAGCTATGTTATGCACATAGAAAAGGTCAGTCTGTATCTCATACTGTTCATATTTATGTTGGTACAGCGCAGTTGAACCTCTCTTTTGATGCACTTCTATTCAGGAGATAACTCTGTTTAGGAGATTGATGCTGACTGGTCTTAGCTGAACAAAATGCTCCAGTAATTACCCTTGTCTCCTCTTTCCTTATTGAAATTACACCTCCATGTTCCAAGGGTGTCATCTTCATTGGGGCTCTATGGTTTGCTGTCAGAGATTGAGCAATGAATCAGCTGAAATAAGTGTTTAAAAAAGACAATATTATACTTTTTGCTGAACTAAAAATGAAAAGAATCTGTATGAAGAGATGTTCAGGTCTCATTTTTCTAACTTATTTCCCACACCTTACTAGAATTGACAACTTTGTTTCATTCTTATTAGATATGGTTTCAACAGTGATGGACATGAGACTGTACGATCACGACTGGAGGAGCAGGTTAAATCTAGGGGGCACCCACCCGGAATCCTTGGAATAAATCTTGGTAAAAATAAAACGTCTAACAATGCCGCAGATGACTATGTTAAAGGAGTGCAGTGCTTCAGTGGCTTGGGAGACTATGTGGTTATCAATGTTTCATCTCCAAATACACCAGGCCTAAGATCTCTACAGGGCAGACAAGAATTAGAAAAACTAATTGATAAGGTGAGATGAGTAAGTTACCATATTCACTTGGGTTGTGCAATAACTTCTTACTAACTGAGTGCGAGGGCAGTACTGTAAGTTATGGGGGGACAGGGACAAAGGTTAGGGAGATAACCTTAGAATTCTGAGCTTCTTGGTTTTTTGCTTTTAGGTAATTGAGGCTCGCAGTTCATTGCCTGTAGATGTACAACATCCTGTATTGGTAAAGATTGCTCCAGATCTGACAGAAGTTGACAAAGAAGATATTGCAGCTGTGGTTACAAGGAAACAGGTCTGTTTCGTTTTATTTTGGCCCAGGTGGCTTTGTCCTTTTAAATCATGGAAGTTCAGGGTTTGAGAAATATTTCACTTCAGTGGATGAACTATTAGAATGTGATGATTTCTAGGGTGGAGTTGATGGAATTATAGTGACAAACACAACTGTTGCAAGACCAGAAACATTACAGAGTAGTAACAAGAAAGAAACTGGAGGGCTGAGTGGAAAACCTTTGACTGAAATGTCCACACAGACAGTGTCAGACATGTACAGACTCACAGAAGGTGAGGGTCTGAACTATCATTTTTGGGTTTTACTCTGTCATTGTGTTCAAAGTATGACCCAGAAAAATGAAATTGCAGGTGTTTCAACAAAAGCTACTAAGCAGTAGTAAGACCTCTCACTGCTGTCTTTTTAGTTGCAAAGCACTCTTTTTAATGCCTACAATTTTCAAGATTCTCCATTTCAAATTTCTCTTTGAGGAGAATGCCCCAAGAACCTTAGAGGAAAGGGGCCTCATGGCGTCTTTTCCAGAACAGATGCACATTACATCATTGGCAGCTTCTTTTGGCTAAAGTTACTGAAACCCCTGGAATTATCATTAATTTTGTTTGCCCTAGTTATGATTTACACTGTAGCTTTTCTTCTGATGGTACACAACTAAACAGCTCATCATCACCTTCGTTATTCTGTTTACCTACGAAATGCTTGCAGCATTGCTGATCCTAACAGAATGCAGGATGGCTGTCGCACATGGACCCAGTAATGACCTGCAGCTTACTATTAAGTTGGGGCTTTTTCTTCAATTCCTGGTGCTACTTTCTTGATTTATGAATATTAAATGGGATCAGGATGGGTAATGGGAAACCTGAAGGTCATGGAATTTTGCTATATCATTTTCAAGGCTTAGAGAGTCATTCAGTTTTAGTGTCAGTATAAAGAAAGACTGAGAAAATGGCTGAAAACATTTTTTTCTTTATTAGAAATTCCTTTGTCTGTGAAAGTTTTAGAATTTTGTAAGTCCAAAATTGTTCCTGCTAAAGAATGTTAAATCACTCGGTAAGAGTGAAGTTATTCTGACTGGTCTTTCCTATGTACTCCTGACCATGATTTTCTTAATGTTCTAAAGGCAAAATACCAATTATTGGTGTTGGAGGGATTTCTACAGGTCAAGATGCCTATGACAAAATCAGAGCTGGAGCTTCATTGATTCAGCTATACACAGCCCTTGCTTATGAAGGACCTCCCATTGTGAAGAAAATAAAGAGGGAACTTTCCGAACTCCTGAAGTTAGTTGACATTCTTTTTTTTTTTTTTTTAATGCTTTAACTTTCTGAAGTGATTCACATGTAACTTCTCCCTACAATATCCATGTAATATCCTGCAAACAGGTAATGAAAATACTCAAATGTATCAGGGAGAAGTTGTCATCTTGATCTTGCACCAAATTCTTGGAACTAATTTACAAGGAAATGTGTAGCAGCTAGAGAGGAGAATTAACAATCGGATCTTGGGAGTTAAAGGCTTAATTGATTCCCCTTATAAGAATATGAATATCATAATGGTAAAATGTACCTCAGAAACCATCACAGGTTTTGTACAGGTCATGGTAAACCCAGAAGGTCATGAAATTCCATGATCTTCTAGGCCTGAAAAGTCGTGGAATTTGAGTCTGGGTCATGAAAAAGGAAAAAAAATTATATTTTAAGAGTAGCACAAAGATGAGTATCCTTTTGATTTGATCATTTCCTCTTTATTTTGGGGGCAACATCTCTATAGTAGGTCATGGAAAATATCAAAGAGGTCCTAGACAACATGGAAAGCAGTAGAATTTTAGGATTTTGAAAGAGTAAAACTCTGTATCATCATTGCTATACAGGTTGTAGCATTGCTAAGTACAGTTAGGGGTGAATAAGGAATTCAGGAAACACACATGAAATGTGACTCATATTTTATTGTGAGCCTTATTTTAGATACTCACACTTCAACTTAAGATATTTTGTTTTGTTGATCTCTCCCAGGAAGGATGGTTTCAAGTCAGTTGAAGAAGCTGTTGGTATTGATCACATCAAACCCATATGACCACTGAGTTGCAAGAATGGAAGCTTTCACTTTTTTTTTTCCAAAGAGTGTAAATGCCACTTGCTATTTAATCTGCAAAAATGGAAAGCACACAATATAGGTCCTTTTTTGAATTTGTTGATTAATTTTATATTTAATTCCATGACACAATCTGACCAAGTCATTTTTGCAGTAAAATTAGTGTGACCTCTATTAACATATAATTGTCATCTCAACACACAGCATTCTAACAAACAAGCAACTATGCTGACTACAGCATTAACCCTTTCAGTCATCTACAAAACATTCATTAACTTATACAATCATGTAGTTCAATGGCACCGTTTGATATGATGAGTGAGGAACTTAAGTGGTTTTTAAAATTGGTTCATTTGTATTTGAATAAAACATGTCAAGAGTGTTTTGCAAGAATTAATAATTTTGTCATAATTTCTGTTGTTGTCATTGTTGTTAGACTGCAGGTAGACTTCTGGTTACCATAGCTCACATCCTGAAAACTCCTCTTCATGCCCTTTATAGGGGAGTTGAAATTTGTGTAGAGGTTGCTCTTCAAAGAGCACACTTAAACACAAAGGCATGCCATAAAAGGAGAGGTGCCTGGATCATTTGTTAATCAACTGTAGTGATGTACAGTCCTCTATATTTAAAACAGCTTGAGCTGCAGCCAATCCAAAGCCAGAGAACAGAAGGTTGATTTATCGAAAGCTCTAATAAGTTATGCATTTTCATCAAAATAGAAGAATTTGTTGAGGTTTGTATCTCCTTTGAATCAAAATCATCTTCATTTGTGGCGTTAAATTTGAAATTCCAAATGGTTTGCTTACCATCACGTAATATTGCCATGGCATAATTTGTATTTGAGCTGAAACCAAGGGGCAGAGCCAAACTATTTATAGTGCACCTTTGTGTATAAGGACCACTTTTGCCTTTGTTTCATGCATCCACTATTCCTTTGCGGCCAATTTTAAAAAGGAGGGACGATTAAGATCGTGAAAGATGCCTTGACCAGGCAACAAAAAAACATCATTTACCTATGCACATTCAGTCAAGAACTTTTGGTGTCAGGTCAAGGAACTATTAAAGGTTATTGATAACAACTTGTAATGAAATAAATTCTTTTCAGTAAAATGGATTCCCTTATTGGATACTACTACTAACAGTCAATAAATGAAGTCATTTGGCTGGCATGGCAAAAACGAGAAAATAGAAATGAAAATGCAAAATACACCAAGACATCTTCAGCATCTTTTTTGGGTTCACACTCCCTTCTCGACGTCAAAGGAAAAAACTGAAGCTCGCTCTACCCCCATACCGGGTTTCAGTGTCACGCATAAACGTCACGCTAAACGTCACACCATTCATCGAGTCCGAGAAGGCCTGGATCACTGACAATATGGCGGCCATTTTGAATGGGAGAGGGCTCTTTGCACGAGCTCGTCGGAAAGGATGCTGGAATGTGGAAGTAAGGAACGTGGCAAACACAACACAGACTGCTTCTCAATATTGTATCAACTTGGTCAGGTAGCATTGTTCAAAAGTTTATCATTTTTGTGCGGTAAACGAGGCAAATGTAGCGCGCAATATACCAGCACAATCACTCGGAATGGTACACTGCTTACATTTAGAACCTTTTCTTGATATTAACATAGGAATCTGGATTATGAGAACTACCTCTGTTTGTTACTACTGCCTAAAATATCTAGAACATCGGTGTTTGCTGTGAGAGCCTTCAATGTAGAACTAGCCAGGGTGAGTGAACCAATATTTTTTTGTATATCCCCTTCACGAACACTTTTTTGATTCAATGGTTCCCTTGGGACAAAACCGTTCCCCTCCTCCCCACCCCCCCACCCCCCCCCTTGTGCAATCCCATTTAAAATCCCTAAAATTACAGTTGCATCATACCACTCACGTAGAAAAAAAGACCATTGCAAGAAGCTAGGTGTTTATCACTTCTGGTAGTTAAAGAGTTCTGCTCTGCCATAGTTTCTTGTAAGATGAGTAAACTAGAATTTATTAAAAATCTCTCCCTCTTGCCATACACCTCTTTCATACTTTCCACACATTTGACTTTCTGTCACCTGCATTTTGTCGCAGAAAACTTCAGATTAACCCTGAAACTCCCATGAGTGACCAAGATAGAATTTCTCCCCATAATCTCAATACAATATCAAGCAGACCAGTGATAATAATCAATTAAGGGATTATTAGTTGATTCAATGATAAATTCTTCAAACTATATCACAAGAACTGTGTGGCAGACAGTAAGGAGAATTACTAATGAGATGATGGGATTGAAAAGGTTAACAATTAATATGAATGTGCATCTTCTAATATTTTTATAATGTGTTGGGTGTATTAAAAATCAAAGGAAAATTTGAAACAACTTGTACGTTTCTCCAACATTAAGGTCCAGGATTCTGTTAGTGATCCAGTTATTGGAAGGATGAGGCTCCAGTTCTGGAGAGATACACTTGAAGAGACTTTCCAGGTGAAATTATCCACCTCTTCTCAGTACTGTAATCAATAAGGGTTTATTGTATTAATTAACAATTATTTGCCAAATTGGAAAATTATTGACTATTTGCTGCCAACAGGAAGCTAACACATGTGTATTGTATTATTTGTGTTTCATTTCAGGGAAATCCCCCTCAGCAGCCGGTAGCTTTGGAACTAGCAAAGGTCAGGCTTTCTTGAATTGCCCTTTTTGCAACAAAACCACTTTTTTAAATTACCCATATCAAGATTATTTTAGCTGATTTTCCATTGGTAGGTGAATGTAAATCATTCAACTTGGAATTGGATTCACACTTAGTTGAACATTTTTTAACTAAAATGTTACTGTAAACCTCTTTCATAGATGACAAGCCTAAAAGAGAGAAATTCCTATTTGTTTGTGTGCCAAAAATTACCCATCCTGGTGTCATAATCAAATTCTCACACTCAAATCAAGAGGGCTTCTTCGCATGCAAATCACAGAATGTTGATAAGGCCCATTATTTATTAACCCTTTACATCCTAAGATCAGTATGCATGTTCTCCATACAGTTCTCTATACATTTCCCAATGTGTTGGCAAGGAGAATTTGTTTAACAATCAAGAAGTTCTTCAGTTGATTATCATTTCCTTTATTCTCATGACCTTAATGTTTGATTCATGGATGATTTTGAAAGGAGAAATTAAATGCCAGTCACTCTTAGGGATTAAAGGGTTAAAAGGGTCTAAATGGCATTTGGAACTAATATTAGTCCTGTAAGGTTCTAAAATGCTATTAAAATGCTTGTTTTGTCTCTTTCAGGCTGTCACAAAATACAAGCTGACAAAGCAATGGTTTTCACGTCTCATAGATGCACGAGTAAGCATGTCACATACTCTCTTCTGTCTGGGGATTTTTTTTTGACAGATATTGATTTCCAGCAATTGGAATTTCAATTAATTCTCTCATAACATGACAAATGAGTTGATCCAAGAGTAACAACTAATAATGTAGTGTGATCATCAGGGTTTAGGTGGTCCTCAAAAGAACTTTTAATCTGGTTTAAAGACATCACCTCAAGACTGTGACAATGACTTCCAAGAAGCTTGTCAAAATGTCAGTCACTGCTACCATCATCACTCCATTTAAGGACTTCCTATACTCAGATGATAAGACTTCAATGTCGTTTCTTTTGATAGCTACCCTTGATAGATGGACACCTCACTTATAGGAACACTCAATTTAGTCATGCCTTTTGAAAGAATGTTTTTTCTTTTCCTTTCCAACAATATATCTAATTCTTTAAAAGTCTAAAATGGTGTCCTGGCTCAGTAATTTCTATGTAATGACATCGTACTTTATTGGATAGGAGAGAAGCCTTGACAACAGACCTCATGAGACAGCAAATGCTTTGGAGGAACACAGTGAACACGCAGTATCATCAGTGTTATATCTTATCTTAGAGTGTCTTGGTAACCATCTTTTTTCTTTATAATCCAAACAGATCCACTGAGGGTACTGTGTTCTTGAATACCCCTGGTAACTAAAGCAAAACAAAAGATGATATTGAGAGGGAAATGTTCACACACAGTTTAGAAGTTGAAGCTAAATTCTGAATTACAAACTGCTGCAACAATGCAGTTGTTGAATTTTATGCACTTTAATATTGTTTGCCTGTAGGGATAAAAGACGTACATGCTGACCACACTGCAAGCCATCTTGGTAAGGCTATCGGTGTGGCAACAGCACTGAGGTCCACACCTTTCCATGGCAGCAAAGGAAAAGTTTACCTGCCAAATGACATAATGATAAAGGTGATAAAGAAGTCTCATGTTTTACATTACAAAAATCAAAATTTTAGGTTTTTCTGTGGGGAACTGAAACTTGTCAATGAGAAAATGCTGGAGGGAGTGAAAGGGATTTTCATCTAATTGCAGTACAAGACTAATCAAACTTACTGCAAAACCAGAAAGTCATGGAATTCTACAAGATCACTTAATAGGCCTGGAAAGGTAGCAGAATTTGAGTGTGAGCTGTCTTATCAGCTAATAAATTTAAGAACTACATATTTGAGTTGAGTTAAGTAGAGGATCAGACTTAAAGATCAGACTTGAAGGTCTGGTGTTCAAGTCCTAATGAGGAACTCACATTTAATTTCATTGTCCAATACTCATGAAAAAAAAACATCTTTTCTTAGAGCATTTGTTTTCTCTTATTCACAGCATGGGGTATCACATGAGGATATTATCAGAGGAAGAAAACAAGAGCTAGTAAAGGATGTTACTTATGAACTGGCTAGTTTAGCACACAGCCATCTTTCAAAAGTATGTGTTTAAGTTTCAGTTTTCAAATATTTCATGGAACATCTCATCACTAAATAAATGTGAATTTTTCAATGCTTGCAACCATAGGCACAGTCACTAATGTCTGAAGCCCCCAAACCAGCATCAAGGGCATTTTTGCCAATGGTATGTTTAAAAACTAATTCAGAGGATATTGTTTAGCCAGGGATGGATACAAATTTATTTAATCCATATGGTATTTTTAATTTTTTTTTTTTTTTCATCTTCAAATGTTTTTAAAAAAAACTGGTCAGTGGACAAAAAATCAATTGACAATTGGCCCATATTTAATTAACCAATGATGAGCAACCAGCTTGGTCAAGATGATGGCTGAGATATATCAACTTATGGTAAAGCTCCTATGGTCCATAAGCTTTAATCCTTACACTTCCAAGCTCTCAAGAGTAATTCTCCTTAATGTCTGCAATACAATTGTTAACTCTGAGCATTTGATATTGGATCAACTAATAATCCCTAATAGGTCATTTTACAATTGTGTATTTAGTTGCCAAGCCTTTGATTTGGAGTGAGGCTGAAGGTGACCTTGTTGTGATAGATACAGTATCTAGTTAGCATAATAGCAAAGCAATTTATTGATTTAAAGAGCAGCAACGTTTGTTTCATAAAAGATCACCCTTAGCCTTGCTCCTGTCTAAAGGCTTGGCAACAAAGCATGCAACTGTCAAGAGGACCATTTATATTTTTCTTTATTCTCGTCACTCGTCTGCTTGAGACTGTATTGATATTGCAAGGAGAAATTCTGTCTTGATCACTCATGGAAGTGAAAGGGTTGAGTACCTTGACCCAAATCTTAGTCTGCCTCCCTGCTTAAGTAAACTCTTACAAATCTGTCCATGTCATACAGAAGAGCATGCTCTGAAACACACAAGGCACAAAAATCTATTCCTTTCAGAGTGGAAAAAGATGTCCCAATGCATGATTTGTTCTCCAGCATGGCAGGCTTAATTCTTACAATATCATTACTGCAAGGTGCCGAGGACCTAGTTTGTCATTCACTAATTCTCAATTTCTTGATTTAATAGGTTTCATGCCGAACTTATCTTACACAGATCCAAAAGGTGGACTTTGACATCTTTCATCCAACCCTGAGAGAACGAAATCACTTGTTACCTCTGCTCTTGCTTAAACATGCTTGGATAGGGCTATGAAATTATGTGAAGTTTTCAGTTAATACCAACAAAGGGAAGAATATGTCATAAAAATGGAGGGCTGAGCCCACAGGCTTGTTTACAAGGAGGCCAGGGATTCTTGTTCACAAGTGAGGTAAAAAAAAATACAATGCTACGATTTCTCAAAACACCACGCAATAGGTGTAGACATAATTACAGGTGTCATGGAGGGTGATGTGATTAGGGATTATTATGATTCTGCCACAGTGACCATCCCCAGTATTCTCCTCAAGAAGAAGGAATGCTGACAAACTATAGATAGGACAAACTGCCAAGGGATTAGGGATAGATGTATTATTTTGTGAAAAGATATTTAGTATTACAATGTCAATTGAATCCTTTCTCTCTTTTCCTACCTTGTCTTCAATAAATATATACTGGTGGTAAAGAAAGAGGAAAACCTTACAGAGCTACAAGGTTCCTCAATATGATTGCAGCTGTGTGAGAGTTTCTCTGCCTGCAAAGAAACACTCGAGTCACAGCCCTTATAAAGACCTGCTCTAAGGTTATTAAACAAAAAGCTGGATACAGTAATTAGGCAAAGTAGTTACACAGGTTTAAGTACCTTAGCCACTTCTGTAAAGGATCCCTGACAACAATTTATTATATATATACTGAACCACAGGTTGCTTTAGTCTGTATCATATGCACCAAAGTTCAATAAAATTTTGATTGCATTTAGTGAAAAATCATTCAGCTCAAGCTTGTTTATAGCCAGATCAGTGCTACACACCTAAATGGCTGTCTACAGCCTCCAATCCAATAAGCAATGTTGGAGTTACTGCTTTTAAAGTACTTTTGTATGTATGATTATCAACTAATGTTTATTAAAATATGTTTCCCCTTTCTTTTAAATAAGAAAATCAAATCTCACTTTTTGACTGACTTCAATGCAACAGAAACCACCCTATTTAACTCTTTCACTCTCGGAGTGATAATTTCACAAAGTATTGTCACAATTTTATAATACTTGTGAGGAGATACAATCCCAAGGATATTTCCCTCATACCAGTTCTTTTCAAGCAGCCTTTCATAGAATGTATGCTTGTATGATGGGAGAATTTGCTGTCTGATTTTGAGGAAGATGATTAAATAGCATTATTGTTATAGCAAATAGTATTCTGTTTAATTTTTAGCAGACAGAGAGTAAAAAGTCTTGCGCTAAGCACATTTTTTTTGTAGTATTTCCCATTTAAATACAGTGCATCAAACTGAATGTAACTTTGATTAAAAACAAGGCTGTCCAAATTAATTTCCATAAAAAGAATTTTAAAAATTTAAAACACTTGACTGTAAGTCAGAGAATACTGTGTTCCAAGAGGTTGAAACCTGAAACTAGGACAGGTCAATGTGACACTAAGCTTAAAGTGACATGGACAATTCTCTCTATGAGAATTCTGTAGCTTCAAAAGGTCTCTTAAAATCCAACCAGTTTGAATTTATGTCCAAAATTGGGGTGAGAAAATAAATTGTAGTGACTTATTTTGGAAATACTACACAAAAAGCACTTATTGCTTTGTAAAAGCCAACCTTGAAATGTTTACTTACTCTCTCCTCAGTAAAATTCATTTGGTAAAACAAATCCTCAACAGATCTGAGCATTGTTGTCTTTTAACGCTTTAACTCCCATATAACCAGAATTTCTCCTTACAATATCAAGAGAACATCAATACAATATCAAGCAGACAAGTGATGAGAATAAAGAAAAATATCAATTAGGGAGATTATTAGTTGATCCAATACCAAATTCTCCAAACTAACATCACAAGAACTATATAGCAGATAGTAAGGAGAATTACTAATGAGATCTTGGGGGTTAAAGGGTTAAGTCAACAAGACATATGCAGCTGTGCATATTTGATGGTCCATTCCCTTGCTACTCTATCAAATTGTTCTCTGTCATTCTCATATAACTGAGCAATGTCAGACTCCATGCATATATGACAATTAGGATCTGTCAGGAGAGACTGTATACTGACTAGGACCTTTGGAATAGTCAATGCAAGACTCCAGTTTTGTCCAAGCATATCCACTCCTATGTCACCATGGTAACTAATGTTTGGATGAAAAATTTTTGTGATGAATCTGGGAATTGGTGGCCTCATTGGATAACTCTTTGGTATTTCCAAGTGAAGGAAGAAAAGGCCTCCTTCATAAGGACAGTTAGGTGGACCCTTTATTGATGCTTGCCAATATGATAAACTGTTGTCTAATGGGCGTGCCCTGATGCCCTCTGGAGGATCCATAAGAATTCCTCTCAGTTCACTTTTCAACCTTTTATTCCTCCATGAGTTTATGAGGTTATCTTCTGGAGAATGCTGCAATAAAATTGATAACAATTTGTGATACATTACAATGAATGGTCAACAGCAGTCTTTAAAATTTCCTAGATACTGTAATTAATCAGCTATATTTTGCTCAACCTCGTCCAATGGTTGTACAATTTTCTAATAATTTTAAGGGAAGAAGATCCTAAATATATTGTCCTCCAATGCTAACACCTGACTGGAGCCTTTCAAATACATCACAAGTCAGGGAAACATGACTAGATGAGAACCTGGTATGATGCTCAATACCAGAGCTTTTCATGTCATCATGCCAAAGGCCTTGCTTAACATAATCAGCCCCTTAATGACAACAAAACTCACCTGAACACATCCCTGTTCAAAACACCTTCTACAAGCAACACTTTGTAACCTGGAATGTTAAAAGAAAGTGATATTATCATTGAAATAACTCTATGAAGGATGAAAATGATAATCAAATAAGTCAAGTGTAGGAAGAGAGTAGATTCCATAGTAAATATACATTACTCTTTGTGCAACCAGCTACAGGATTTGTTACTTGTCACTTAAATCATGTGTTTTTATGATTAGTTAAAGTCATTATCTTAATTTGATATCCAAAGTAAGTTGTGTCCTTTTTTCTACTTCTCCCTGGCATGAAATCATCAGGGTTAAAGTACAAAATCTTTTTTCTGGTTTCTTTTTCCTATATTTTCACAAGCCCTCACTGCATAGGTCACTTTGCACTCAGCTTCAGTTTTAAAATTCATGTTACTCCTATACCTCTGGTAAAAAAAAATTCATACTTAAAAACCTTTTGGTCAAGATGCATCTCATTTCACATCACTTACAGCTTCATGTAGAGTTTCTGCCAGGATTTGACAGAACTCTGTTTGTCACATGGCAACAATGGCCATCTGGTGCGAACATGTTTCTCCCATTCATTATGTTCTCCAGCCAGTTCCTGCCACCATTGACAGACTTGCCCCACCATACATAAAGATATATCATCCAAAAAGGAAAATATTATCAGCAGCACTGGAACAAAAAGGAAAACAGTTTAAAAAGCTTTTCCTTCATTGTTCAAATTATGGATAGCACTTTCCAATGATGTGGCAATCCTGCAGATATATATTGTAATTACAGTTCATGTTAAAATGCTTATCTGCAGTCCATATGATTTATAACAAATGTTGAAATGATGGGACTCACAAGGAGACAAGTTACAATGATGGGTCTCTACAAGGAACCACCATGTGTCAATTCCTTCCAGAATAAGCTACATTTACAGGACAATGACAATACATCCCTAATCTTGTGTTCTTAAAAGAGGGATAGAGATTCTTGTAAAAGGAAAAGGGCTTAGGCTCAACATAACAAATACCACTTAAAAATTGATTTTATATGATTCAATTTTGAAGATTTTCTTTCTGTTTGATGTATGCAAGGCTTTGGGGCAGGTCTCATCTCTTTGCATCCAATTCATGGGATATTCCAATCTTCTTCCCATGACCTGGATAACTAGAGGCTCTGGGAATAAGATTGGACACCCCTGGCATGATCAAATCACCCATTTGCAAACCCTGAGAGGACAACAAGCATCCTTGTCCTTCAAAACAGATGCCCTCTCCTAAGAGGTCCTCCTCTAAATCAAAACTATAACAAAATTCTCAATGGTGATTGGTTATCACCAACCCAATTTGAGCACTTTTTTTTTTCATGAAAATGTACAACCAATGACTAATTTCTTTCCTGAATTTTGTCACAGTTTTGATTAATCAGTAGCAGGACTTTGTATGGTCCAATTCTGTCTGTATCATACTCATGATTAGCAAACAGGATTCCCGCTTCACAGTTGTCTGATTTTGTTAATCACCAGTATGACTGCAGACCAAATTAGACTCCACTCAGTCCTAATACTATTATAAAACTTGCAACAACAAGTTATCAATCCCAACAACAGGTTGTTATATGACAGCTATCCCCTATTCTTAAACGTAGACTAATAATTAAATCCTAGGGTTTCAATAAAGCTGCTTGGGACTTGTAGGTCTTCCAATTATGATTCTACAGTGGTCAACTCAGTTGATAAAACGAAATTATCTTTTAAAGCCCTCACAACAGTTTTCTTTAGAAACTCAGTCCCTTGTGTATTCCACCTAGATGTATAAATGTTAAAAATGTAGCGGTTTTTACTAAAAAGTGAGAAACTTTCACTTAATTTTGCAAAATCAAAGGCAGTAAAACAATGCCTCTTGTGTCGCATAGCACAAAATAATCGCAACAAAAGATATTTAAATCCGCAAAACAAAACAAAACAAAACAACTCACTTTCTGGTGGTAACTTTCCAAACAAATCTTCCTCGACAAAGCTCAGCTCATTCGCAAGCCGCTCTGCGATGAAGTTCTGTGGTCTAATATGTTCATAAAGTGATAAATATGGTAGTTTACTTAGTGACATCGAGGAAGGGTTTAAAGGACGTTCGCTGTTTTCCGGTGACAGTTTCGTTTCGTTTTCACTTTCGCACCCACTATCCTCAGGATCTTCCGATTCTGTGCTTCCTCCGGAACTGATTATTGTTTCACTACTATCACATGTTGCAGATTGTGATGATACACTTTCGCAAGAAGCTGCTAAATGTGAGTCCTCAGTTTCTGTTCCGAGCACAAGTGGTGCATTTGGATACAAGAAGTCGTGACAAACAGCGCAGTAAGGTCCAAATTCTGGACTATTATGCTCAAGTTCACACAAGAAACAATTCTCTGAAGTTAGCTTGAAGTCCACAGCTTTTGGTCGATTTCCTTTCTCTGAATGTTCATCCGGCTGGTAACAGGCTGCGGACGACTCTTGCTCTGAAATTGAGAACAGTACTTCTAGATTTACGTCAAGCTCTGTTGAGCCATCCGCCATGTTGTTTTGGAAGGAGGGGAATGGGGAAAATGGAGAGATTTGTGGGAGATTTCGCCTATTTCAGGGGACCGCTCTAAGGAAGAGTTATAAGAAGAAAAAAATTCAGAATGGTTCAGAAGAATTCCTTCAATAAGTGAAAGGGTTCCCTTTAGATTATAAAATCTTTAAATCCCAAAATGATTGATAATTTTTCCCTTTGGCTGCTGCACAATTCCTTGTAAATTTCTTACAAGAATTTGGTGTTTGATCAGGATAACAACCTCCACAGTTTCAATATTCTCATCACTTGTTTGTGAATAACTTATGGATCTTACAGGGAGAATTAAGTTAATATTCTTATTACCTGTTTGCTGAATAACGTATGGATCTTACAGGGAGAATTGAGTTGCATGTCAATCAGATCTGGGAAAAAAGAGTTGAATTCTTTACTCAATTTCACCTGTTTCCCTTCAGAAAATTAGCCAATATGTGCTTAAATCAACTTCCTCTCTCACACAACACAACAGAACAGCTCTACGAAAATGTTTTTCCGGTTTATTTATTTTCTATTTATTTATTTATATATTTAGCATATTACGAGCATTCCCTCTCTACAAGGCTTATATGCTCTTCTTCCACAATCCATCATTAGGTGTAGAATAACCCAAACAATATGGCTATATTTACAAGATATCAACTTCTGTTAATTTATAACTACATGAATGGGATGACTTCTATCTTAGATCACCAATTCATAAACCTAAAACACTGATAGTCTAAAGTTTTGGTAACTCAAAGTAGTTCAATTTATTCAGCTGTGGAGTGCAATTTTCTAGCTAACAGATGTCCTTAAAAAGTTTGCTGTCTGTGACTGTGAACTATACTTCAACAAACTGAGTAAAATTACCAAAGATATTAAAGTGCTATTTATCTCTCAGAAGTTTGACCCTCACAGATCAAAGCTGAACACTGAGCAACTTTTTACATGACTATGATGATAAAAACATCCCACCACCACAAGTAACAAACCTTTTCAGGACAAACACACTCAAAAAGTCTGGCTCCATGCAAGGTAAATTTACACATTTCAAACATACATTAAAACTAGATGAAATCTCACACTTATTGAATGACTGATAACACTCGTAGTAAATGAAACACTTGAACCTTCATTAACCAATACCAGTTTTCATATGTGATGGAGCTAAATTAGTTGTTGCACTTTTGCAGAGAGTTAAACTATTTAATTTTAATGCATGTCCCTTAGAATACCTTTCCATCGCCCTCTAGGTTAAAAAAAAAGCTACATCTACTACAATTAATCTGTAGTAAGGATTATAATAAGCTTTCCTTTCAAAGAAATTAGAATTTACCTAAAATATTTACAATTTTTCCACTATGTGCTTTATTTTCACAAATGTCAATGTAAAACAAGTACCTTTTGGTGAACTGCATGCAGTAACTAGACATATTTCCAAACAAAACTAGAGTGTACTCTTTAAGTTCTTAAAACAGGTAAATATCAAAACTATGCATCTGCACAGTGTTTGTTGCAAACTATTTTATCCATGTACCAAGGCTCTGTTGTATAACAGTCAGATAATGCTACCCTACAGATAAATTGCTTAGCAGCAGATAAGTGATAGCAAAACTTTCAGCATTATCCATCATAGTGGGTTTTATCCAGTGTATAGTGTTGTTATTATGTATATTATGATTTGACCATTGTTATTTGAATTTAATATATTTCACAGGAATTGTTAATTTGACTTATGATTGGTCCAGGTGTTTCTTTTCGTTTTGTTATTCAAACCTTTTTTTTTTCAATTAGCATATATATTTTTTGTCTTTTTCTCTCTGTTGTAACCGTCTTTTTTCGTTTAAGTGGAATAAAAGATGCAAAAATTGGTTTCAATGGTGTAAAATTATTGATAGCATTATCTAACCTTCACACAACCAGGGCCAGGATAGTACTTAGATTGTTCCTACCTGTAACTAAAGCACATAGGCTGACAAGGCCAAACAACAGTTATCATTGCAAAGGAGGCTACCACCAGAAAAACTGGAGGCAAAACAGGCATCATTTAAAGTTGTTTCTTAACAATCACATTAAGCATGTTGACTCTGATCTGTCAGTTTCCTCATTTTGTGCACTCACTGGGTTGCAAGCATCACACAGTCAATAAGGTAAAATCAACACAACCAAAATTCTCCTCACTTAGAACAATTGCAATACAACATTTTGAGGCATTGGGAAGAAACTTTCAGAATCACATTGTCTAGTACTTTTCTTCTAGACTATTTCATAGGGTTATGCACTAAAAGCAGTTAATAAATAGTTACATTAAAAGAAAAAACAGCACATTAAAATAACAAACTGCGAGCCACTGTGTTAGTAAAAACAAAAAAGACACCATTTGCTTACAAACTGTCCAATCCACTGTACAATGCAAATAAAAAAAACTTT